TATTAATAACAAATTAATTCTTAAACAAAACTATTAAATATAAATTAGGCAAACGTGCATTACACGTTGCTTGAACCTAGTGTCAAAAAAATTGCTTATGTTATTGGCCGAAGCATTAGATAATTTTTGTGGGGAAGGACAAAGATCTTAGTAACAATGAAGGGTGAAGACTACCTAACATCAAGATCTACATAAACTATAAATACGATTGGAAAAAAAATCAATTGATTCTTAGCGCATTTAGAATTATCAAGAAAGAAGAAGAATTAAACCAAAATTTCGAAAATGAAGAAGAGTGAAGATCAATTTTTTTCACCAGGGAAAAGAGTGGGAATAATTTGAAGCTATATGATTTTTTTTTTCTACAAGGAAGACGGTGGGAAAATAGAATAATAATTGAGGCTGTATGATTGTGATCCACACTTACATTCCCTCCAAAAACTGATGCCATGTTGGAATAATTGGGGCTGTATAATTGTGGTCCACAATAGCTTTTTAAATCTGAATTTCAGCCTGTCCAAGTAGCTTTATTGTTGGAAAAATTAGGATTGGGTCATAAATCTTCACATGATATATATGGTTGTGATTCTACAATTTATTCTGGGTGCTCAACCTATTTAAATATGTGATCTCAGTCCTCACTCAACAGAAATCGTCATAATTGTTAAAATTGCATTCGACTTGCAATTGAATTCGAGAGAAATGTGTGATCTTAAGGTTTAGGGGTTGTTTTCAAATGTTTTGATAAAAGTTTTAATAAATTTTGATAAAAAATGATGTAATGTGTAAATGAAAAGTTGATAAAATTATATGCTCATGATATGTCATTAAAATTAATTATTGATTTGACCTTAATTTTTTATCAACTTTTTAATTTTTCCAAAATAAGTGCTTAATTTGCTCTTTAACTATAAGTCCGTAAAAGTCTTTTTAGAGCTTGTTTGAACCATATTTTTGTTCAAAATGCATTTTAGAATATTATTTTGATGAAAAATGTATGGTTAAAAATAAGGAAAAATTTTAGATTTGTATGTAATATTATTTTATTTAATAATATGTGGTTGAAAATAAAAGAGTAAAAAATACATTTTGAAAATAAGGAGGATCAAACAAGGGCTTAATGTTCACATTTGATAGATTAATCAAGTGGGATATAAATTCACAAATTCAAATGATATGAGGACGTAGAACCTCAATCTTACGGATTGAGTATTCATACTATACCATGTAAAAGATTAAAATTCAACCATAACTTTTCCAACCTAATTTTTAGCCCCTACTTGATAATCATTATTTGAAAACTTTTTTTTTCTAGATACTTGTTTCTAACTATATATTCACAAACTAAAATATTTTGCAGGTAAATCCAAACTTCATAAATTTTAACCACGCGTTCTCCTAAAAATTACTATTCAAAACATTCTTTATTTCTCAAATAATGGTCATCAAACAAATGTTTTAATGCTAGCACCTTCGTGATATTCTCTTAAAAGATTAGATCATCTCTGATAGACTCTCTAAATTAGGGATGGACAGAAGTCTCAAATAAAATCAGACCAAACCGAACTAAACCGAATTGAGCGGTTCTTCATAAATTAAATACCAGAATGGGTATTTAAATCGAGAACCGATGAGTTTAGTTCGGTTCTCGATTCTAGGCCAAGAACCGAAGAATCGAATAAAAATCGAATCAAAATAATTTTTTTAATTTTTTATATAAAATTAATTAAATAATTTTAATTTTTTCTAAACAAATTAACAAATTAAAATAATTTTCTACTTTTTGATATTTGTATATATTGAATTAATCTTATTGGATAGCTTGTTATTTATATGTTTTTAAATTGAGATACGTTAATTTGTAATAGTTAAGAATAAACATGTTATTAGTTATATTTATGTAGTGTTGTTGTAAATGTTAAAAAATTTAATTATGATACGAAACCGAACTGAACTGAACTGAACCGAACCCGAACGGTTCCATAATTATATTTGGACCCGACTGTTCCATTTATTAAATATCCGAAAGTTTTGGGTCGATTCGGTTCTTTTCAGGACCGAACCGAATCGAACCATGTCCAGCCCTACTCTAAATACAAAATATCATCATTTAAAAGATTTAATGCTTAAAGATAAATTACAATTTAACTCTCCAAATTTAGAAATCCAAACATACTCTCTATTCTTAAAGCATCTTCAAGAGACTTCTTATTTATAAAGAGTATACTATACATTATATAGAGTATTTTTAAATTTAAAGAATCGAAATTTTTATACACTTCAATAATGCTCTTTATTTTGGCACTTCATTTTGATTTTCTCAAGAAACTTTTATTGATTTCTTATATTTTATTGAACATTATTTTTTATGTCAATAGCCAATCAATTTAAATATTGTTTGAATAGCCATGTTTGGTTTGAATTAAAATCTGATTTTAATACAATTCAAAGTCAAACAATCAATATTATTCACATCTTTCATGGGTCCCAAAACTTTTCAACCACACATTTCAAAAACTTTTATCACAATCTACTAAAAATCTAATTTTAATACCCACCAAACATCCTCTAAAAAATAGAGTATTGAAATATGTGACATATTAAGTGCAATTATTGTTCTTTAAAAATAGAGAGTTAGTTTAGCTCTCTAAATTTGAAGAACCAAACCCATTATCTATTTCAAAAAGTTAAAATAGAGAGTTTCTTGGATTTTGTTTTAAAGCATTAATTCCTTAAAATAAAGACAATTTTGTATTTAGAGAGTCTATTAAAGATGCTTTAATGTACTACAATTATTGTATTTAATAAGTCACAAATTTCAATACTCTACTTGTTAAATTATTCAAACCACATAGATTGATTCATCATTGACATATAAATAATTATGTTAAATAGAAGTAAATTTATCTTTGTGAAATGGAGGTAATATGATTTTTTTTAATTAATTCTTTTATGTTCAAAAGAGTAATCAACGACGTTGCATAGAAGTGTTTTTATAATTATTTATGATCAATCCCAATTTTTATCAACACATTTTATAAGTTTAATTATAACTATTATCTTATTATCGACATATTACAATAACTTAAATTTTAGTTTAATCAAATACAAAACAAACGTGACTTATATAGAATGTGTGTATGGAGAATTATTTTCTGCGTTTAAATTCGTCGCAAACTAAAAAGTCATTTTTTTTGCATAGTATTGAACCAATTCGTCGTATTTTTACATAAAATTCACGTTTTGAATTTTCTCCATCATGCAATATCAAACGTTAACTTCAAAGTCCGCACATTATATGTATAATCATCCATGGACTCCGGGGAGCTCGGTACTTCTTTTTTCGCAAAAATGCACAAAAACAAGAAGTCCTCAACTTGAAAGTTCACGCATTATAAGAATAATCATACATGGATTTCGGGACTATTGTTACACATCACATTATAAGGCTCTAGAAATCCTACATGGAAAACAAACCTTGGGCCTTTCACTCCACGTCGAACCCCCAAGAGGCAATTTGACTGAACCCCATGAAAGGCCAAGCCACTGTACGGATGTCAAACCCGTTGGATCGTGTTGACCTACATTGAAAGAACTGAACTTGCATCACAAGGGAGGTTGCTTAAGGAGCTCGGCACAAAATCTTTTCAAGAAATCCAAGATATGTGATTGATGTGACAATTCAATGTTGTCGCCGCCCTTTTCAACTCATCAGATCAAGTCTAAAGCCACAATTTAGGTATTATGTATAATAAAACGATATTAGTATTTAATGTTAATGATTGATTGATGGCTATTACAAGAGATCCAGCCATTAGAATGAGGCCCGATATCCCTTCATTTAACAACTCTTCCTCATCATTTACTATAAAAACTCACTTAATATCATTCAAAATGTAATGCAAGTATAGACTTTCGAGCTATATCATTTCCCAAAGTCGACTCCTCTTTTACATTGAAGGCTCACGTTTAAAACTCTTCCACACTCATATACTCATTATCACTGTCGGAGTACACGCGGTTGACTCCACCACCACTGGAGGAAGATACATGTGCTTAATGGTTTGTTCAAATATGCAGGAATCAAGCTTGTGTGGATGTGAAATGCCTTGAGATCTGTTGGTCACATTGAAAATACAAAATTTGAGGTCAACAACTGCGATTTCAGCTTATCATGTTACGCAACCCATTAATAGGTTTTCTATATGAATTTTGGAATCCATTTTTGGTGAAGGATGAAGATGAAGATAATCATTGGAGACTAATATTTTTTTTCTCTTCGGCAGATTTTTTTTTTTCACATTTTGGTTTTTGGTTTTTGGTTTTCGGTTTTCTTTTTTTGTATTTATTCAGTCCCTATTGATTTAGCTAAAAATTGAACTAAAATCTAAGTTAAAATCAAATAATTAAGGGCAAAGTAGTCATTCTAAAGAAAGTTGTGACTTTTTAGTGGTCAAATTAACAAATTTGTCACTGAATTGAATATGTTGAGGAGTTCACTCATATTTTTTCCAAAATTTAAAGAAGTTGAATTAAAGAGGTGAATTAAAGGATAAACCGCAAGTTGTGTTCCGAATCCGACTGCAAAATCTTTGCTGTCCATGTTACGACAAGAGACCCCACTATTAGCAGTACAGTTTCTCTTAAGGTTTCAATTAATGACGTCATATCCCATAAATGGGTCGACAAGATAGTACAAAAACTGTTCGAATGGGCACTATTTCTATTCCAAATACCTATAGATTGTAGCAAACAAACTGCAAACCTGAGATTTTGCAATAAATAAGTCTTTATGTAGTAAATTGCAGGGCAGTTTCCCTCATAAAATTCTTAGGTATACCATTATTTCATACACTTTGTTCATATTAGTATTCACTTCTTTATATACGTCATTCATTCTTTCCTATTGTTCATGTCTCCTGTTTGTGAGTTTCTATAATAGGAAGTAGCTAAGTGAGTGTAGGGTTTTTACAAATTATACAACACAGTGGTGCCCTAAAATGGGAAAGTCAACTAACTGCCATGTGAAGTTGGAGCTAAAGAAAGGGCCATGGACTCGAGAGGAAGACAAAAAGCTACTCGCTTATATAGAAGAACACGGGCATGGAAGATGGCGTTCCTTGCCGGCAAAAGCTGGTCTCTCTCCCTCTCTTTTCTATTTTTGCTCTAGTCAGCATTTTTGGCTCCTCTTAAAGTTTCTTTTTATTATTATTATTATTATTATTATTTTTTTTTTTTTGCAAAAAGTAATTTGTAAATAAGTAACTTAAAATTAGTGTTGAGCATTTCAAAATATGCTCTGTGCTTTTGAAAATGATTTTATTACTTTTCTGAAATGAGTTCACCTAAAAGTTAGTGTTTCTACAAGCACAGCCAAGCATGCTGTGCTCATATCGAAAGAAGAAGATGGGACTTGTTAGCAAAGTCGAATTAAATTATATAAAGTGCATATACTAAGCCAATTTGGTTGGTGTGTCATATAGGGCTTCAAAGATGTGGAAAGAGCTGCAGATTGAGATGGAAAAATTATTTGAAACCTGGTATTAAGAGAGGAAAGTTCAGCTTGCAAGAAGAAAATACCATTATTCAACTCCACGCTCTTTTAGGGAACAGGTAATTAATACTATCTTGAGGACATCCATACTGTATACATGACATATTTTTCTCTTTTCGTGTAAATTTATTAGTACCTTTTTTGGAGAATAAAAATGTATCCCACGAAATGTGTAGTTGACTTTGATTTATTATAAAATGAGCTTATAAACTACTAAGAAATTTGTAGAAACAGAGGCTTTGTATATTTGATAAAAGTTTGTACCCTGAGATTTTTCATTCTTTTACGTACTCTTCAACTTATGTTGTGTAAAACGGATAACCAAAAATGACATGACGGTTGTTGAAGACAATATATATTTATATGATTTGAATGTGATTTCAGTTAACAGTTTAAACTTTTAGACTAAGAGTGTGTTTGGTAGTGATTGTTGGGGGAAAAATTGATTTTTGAATAGTGATATGATGGGAAATGTGTGGTTGAAAAAGAAGAAAAAGTATTGATGTGATGGAAAATATTATTTTATTGAAGAATGTGTGGTTGAAAATGAGAATTGATTTACTGTAGAAAATGAGAATCTGTACCAAACAGGCCCTAAATTTATATCCATTTCAGAGAATTTTCAAANATGGTATTTGAGTAAGCGAAAGTTCTAGGAAAAATTTTACCGCCACCAATTTAAACGAATTGTGAACGTGTTTGGCCTTAATTGAAAAAAAAAAAAAAAATCTTGTCCATACGAAAATAGGTTTGTTGAAAATTAACAATATTTAAATGATATAGACATGAGCATGTGATCCTATTTAATTATTTAAACTTTTATATAAATTGGTTTAACAAAATACTACTTGGGACATGATGAAGTAATTGAAAAGGAAATAGTTACTTTATAGATCTCCTGAGTACATAAAAAAGATTCATATAGTTGACACCAAATAAATTAAGCCCATGTTTGGTTCCATTTTTTTTAAAACTTTTGATCACATATTTTATGGGACCCACAACTTCTATTAACTTTTTAGCCATACATCTTATCAACTTTTATTAAAATTTATTAAAAATGTTATTTCTATAGAAACCAAACAGGGGCTAAGATAATTGCTTAATTTATTAGTTTTGCATGCATATTAATTTTGTAAAGTGGGAACTTTGTTGAACAATTAATTTTCCATGCATATTAATGTTGTTTTTAGTCTAATTAGATGGTCTGCCATAGCTACTTATTTGCCAAAGAGGACGGACAATGAAATAAAAAATTACTGGAACACACGTTTGAGGAAGAGATTAACCAGGATGGGCATTGATCCAGTGACTCATAAGCCCAAGAACTTCGCCGGTGGCCAATCCAAGGATGCCGCCAACCTCAGCCACATGACTCAATGGGAGAGTGCTCGACTAGAAGCCGAAGCTAGGCTCGTCCGCCAGTCAAACGTCCGACACCACCACAACTCCGCTTTTCCACCACCAGTAGCAATGCCAGCTCCGCGTCCCCTGTCACCGTGTTTGGATGTATTGAAAGTGTGGGAAGGAACAGTAAACTCTTTCCTTTTCACCTCAGCAGCAGGAAGCCTTGTGTCACCAACATCAACCTTAAACTTCTCAAGGAACTTCTTTTCAAACCCTACTACAGGATTCATTAATGGAAATTCATCAGTAACAAACATGAATTCCATTTGGAAATCAGGTGCAGGTGGAGTTGGAACACCAAACAATTATCTTGATCAAGTAATGGAGAATTCCACGAGGCTCCATGATGAGAATATTGCATATCCTATGGATTCTAAATATATTGCAGGCTCCATGGATGGCCTTCTGCCTATTTCTTATGGTTACAACATGACAAGTTCATTCGGAGATTTCGAAGAAAACAAGGATTACTTGAATGACTTGCTAAATTTGGTGAATTTGTCGACCGGATCAACAAATTTATGGACTTTTTCCTGAAGAGAAAAATCTGCGATTGGCGTGATTTTCTACAAAATGAAGTGCTGAATAGTGAAATTATTGCTTGTATTAGGTTTTCGTTTTTCCGACTACTTATTAATCTTGTTAATCCTCAAAATCATTGATTAACAGCCTGATAAGGGTTTCTTGGATCTTTACATGAATTAAATAGGTTGTTGATTTGGATTTATTGTTCACAGCTCTATTTCACAGTGTTTTATTTTGTTTACAAAAATAAGATTAACTAATGGTAGTTTATAATTACTGAGAAGTGTGAGGTGGATCACTGGCACATAAGTATTTTTCTTGAACACTTTGAAAGAATTGTGCTAGTTGATATATATTATGGACCATAGATTAAATCCAATCGTTGGACTTAATCTTGTGGTCAAATACCTACGAGGCATGTCTCTTTCATAGTACAATATTTGAATTTGAAATTGAATTCAAATGTTCTTTTAGCTCTATAATTACAAGTCTCCTTCACTTATTTCACTTGGACTTGACATAATAAAAGAGAGAAAGCATAGAGAGGTAACAAAGTGGGAGAAGTTCATATCTTCGACGAAATTCTTGATGGCTTCCGGCAGATTTATTTCTCGGTATATCCATTGTCATTCCCGTGGACGACGGTGCATGATCCGATGTGACAAAAATCTGAGCACAAAGTCATATGACACTCCATTCGTGGTGTTGAAGAAGCTTTTGGTCTATTGATTCGGTTTTACACTTTGAGAGTTTATGTTTTTCGCATTGTAGTTGTAATAATCATTTTTTCACTACATTTTAAACTCTACAAATGGCATCAGAGCTTAGGCTAGTGGTATAAAGTGTTGAAACAATCTGAAAATCATATTGGAAGTCGAAAGGGTTCGATTTTGTTTGAAAAAGGTTCGATCGAAACTACAAACCCATTTTCTAGCAAACCCACACACCTGATAGACAAACGTCGACCACAATCACACTCCAGACGATAAGCAGAAGCTGCATTGCCGTGCGTGAGACACACGCGTCGACGGTGGAGGTGGTGCGTGAGCACCATCTGCTTGAGGGCATGTAAGGAAGAATCAGTCGGAGGTAAAAAAAAGACAGTTTCTTCCTTGTGATATTTCTGACATTTTGGTGGTGTTGGATTTCATTTTGGTGCACTTTGGAAGCAGATATAGCCTCGGACAGAAAGGTGAAGTGGAGAAAGTTTTTCCGTTGGCAACTCAGTGGTGTTTCCTGGGTTGCAGTAGCTGCTGGATAACTTAGGGCAGTTAGTAGAGCCCCTAAATTGATAAAAGACTCACATCTCTCCTTAAAATACGAACCAACATATTAGTTCACTCGATTTACGTGTTCTAAAACCCTCTCGAATTTACAATAGATATATTATTATTTGTTATCATATTGTTATTTGACTCTTGTGATATTGTCTATGTTTTATTTGTTATGATATCATCGCTTATGTCATTTTGAAAAATAATTTATACATAAATTGGTTTGAGCTTGCATTTGTGTGCGGATAAATTGGTTAAGTAAAACTTTTTCAAAAAATATGACTTTGCTACCAAGACTTCTCGAGTTGAATTGATACAATTCAATGGGAAGGGAAATAATTCCATTTGAAAGCAAAAAACGAAGGCTATTTTAATCCAATAAAGTGTATCTAAAACTTTTGACGACCCAAAAAAATATCATGATGCTTTAAAGCTAAACCACATGAAATTACTGAGATGATTGAAATTGCACATAATTTGATCGTATTGCATTTATCTGATAAAGTGTTAAGACATGTTGAACGACATAAGACTGCCAAAGAGTTGTGGGAAGCACTTGACAAGCTATTTTTGGAAAAATCTCTTCCAAACAAAATACATTTGCTTCAAAAACTTTTAAATTTTAAGTTGGACCCAGGAAAGGATTTTGAATCTAATTTGGGTGACTTAATAGTCTCGTCAAGTGTTTGGCACACAATGATAAGAAATTTGATGATGAGTATCTAGCGGTTATACTTTTAAATGTTACGCTCGAATCTTATAGAGATGTTAGAAATGCTATCAGGTATGCTAAGGATACTTTGACCTAAGATATTGTGACTAATACTATAAGGGTTAGGGAGCTAGAGTTTAAGAAAGAGTCTAAGGGTAGCTCGAGAGAAGAGAGTTTGTTTGTTAGAGGAATGAATGAGACGTGGGAAAACTACTTTCAAAATAAGAAAGGTAGAAGGAAATCGAATGGTAGGTCCAAGTCTAGAGATAAAAGTGATAAGAAATGCTTTCATTATGGTAAGTTAAGACATTTCAAGAGAGACTGTAATAATCTTAAGAAGAAACAAAGACTGCAATAGAGTGATGATCAGAACTTATTTCCTGCAGGAGATTCTCTTGATTGTCTACATGTTATGACCATGTTAGGAGATTTTGACACTGATATAGATCGTGTCCGTGATAACATACATGTCATGAATGTTTCTAATATTGATTTTAACACTGAGTGGATTTTAGAGTTAGGTGCTACTGTTCATATGTGTCATGTTAAGTCTTGGTTCTATAACTACAGAAATTTGAATCATAGGATAGTATACTTGGGGGATGATCGTACACACAATGTGGAGGGAGTAGGTGATATTGCTATTAGGATGCATGATGGCATTATTAGATCCCTTAGAGGTGTTAGGTATATCTCGGGCATAGTAATGTATCTTATTGTCTTAGGTACTCTAGAAGAAGAAGGTTATGAGTTCAAATCCCATGTTGGTACTTTAAAGGTTTGTAAAGGGTCTCTAGTGGTTATGAAAGGTTCCAAGAGGAATGGGCTATATGTCCTTCAAGGTGAAGCCTTAGGCAGCAAGGAGACGGCATTATCTTCTCTTTGTAAAGATAGATCACATCTTTGGCACAAAAGGATGTGACACATTGGGAACAAGGGGTTGAAATATCTTAGCGACTAGAATTTACTTGGTAACAATAGTGTTACACCATTAAGTTTTTGCGAAACATGTGTTCTAGGAAAGTCACACAGGGTTAGCTTTGGGATAAGTGAACACATCACTAAGAGACCATTGGATTACATTCATGTAGATTTGCGAGGTCTAGAAAAATATCCCACACATGGAGGGTACAGATTTTTTCTGTCCATTGTTGATGACCACTCGAGGAAGGTTTGGGTGTATCTCCTTAAATTCAAATCTGAAACTTTTAGTAAGTTTAAGTCCGACTTGCCTTAGTTGAAAATCAAATGGGAAATGGTGTGAAAACTCTTACGACTGACAATGATTTAGAGTTTTGCAACTTTGAATTTGATAATCTCTGCAAAAGAAAGGGTATAATGAGGCACAAGACTGTAAGACATACCCCCAATAAAATGGGGTAGCAGAGAGGATGGATCAGACTTTAATAGATAAAGTTAGATGTATGATGATTAGTTCAGGGTTGTCTAAAGGTTTTTGGGGTGAAGCCGTGTGTACTGTGTACTGCTGCCTATTTGATAAATAGGTCACCTTCTAGTTCCATTAACTTCAAGACTCCCAAGAGTTGTGGTCTAGAAAAACCTCAGATTTGTCACACATTAGAGTGTTTGGTTGTGCGGCTTATGCACATCAGGTTGAGGGCAAATTGGACCCTAGGGCTACTAAGTGTGTCACATTAGGTTATTGAGAAAGAGTGAAAGTTTATAAATTGTGGGTTTTAGGTGTGAAGGGCATTAAGATTATTAACGGTAGAGATGTGAAGTTCAATGAACTTGATATGCCTTACCTTAAAAACATAGACAGTCGAAACAAACAGACTGAGGAATGGAAATCTTCTACTAGAAAGATGATGGAGTTTGAGGTGAAGAGATTAGATGATCATCAAGAGGAAAGTCAAATCCAAGCTCAAAAAGAATCTGATCAAGATGCAGTGATAGAACAACCAGAACTTGAAATTTCTGAAACTGTTATCCCTAATCAAGAAACATCTGTAGGTACTAATTTAGATGACTACCAATTAGTAAGGGATTGGGAGAAAAGACAAGTGAAGCCCAATATGAAATACATGCCTTGGAATCAATTGAACCGACTTCATTTTAAGAAGTGGTAACCTGTAAAAATTCTGAATATTGAAAAAAGGCTATGAGATAGGAGATCCAGTTTCTAAACAAAAATGAGATTTGAAAGTTGTTTGAAAAACCAAAGAATCAAAAGGTGTCCATTGTAAATGGATCTACAAGTTAAAAGAAGGAGTAGGACTTAAAACCCCTTTAACATAGGGTTAATACCCTAAATAGTCACTAAACTTTGCTAAAAGTTCACAGGAGGTCACTGAACTTCAAAATTTTCCCAATTAGTCACTGAATTTCACAAAAAGTTCCTAGGGGGTCACTGAACTCCGAAACTACCCTAAATAGTCACTGAACTTTTCCAAAACTACCCTAATTAGTCACTCAATTTTGCAAAAAATTCCTAGGGATCACTAAATCATTGATTTATGGGGTCACAATTTGCAAAGTTCGGTGACCTCCAAGGAAGTTTTAACAAAGTTCAATGACTATTTAGGGTAGTTTTGAAGTTCAGTGACCTCCTAGGAATTTTTTGCAAAGTTCAATGACTAATTAGAGAAGTTTTGAAGTTCAGTGACCTCCTGGGAACTTTTGGCAAAGTTCGGTGACTATTTAGGGTATTAACTCTTTAACATATAAAGATAAGTTGGTTGCGAATGGATTTACTCAAAGAGATGAAATAGACTATAATGAGGTGTTCTCACCGGTCATTACATATAAAACTATCAGGTTACTCTTAGCTTTAGTTGACCAGTATGATTGTGAGTTGGAACAACTAGATGTTAAGATGGTTTTTCTTCATGGGGAGTCGGATGAATTGATTTACATGTCTCAACCTCGAAGGTTTGAGGTGAGGAGAAAATTAGAACTTGTGTATTTGTTTAGAAAGTCCTTGAATGGTCTTAAACAAAATCCTAGGCAATGGTATAAAAGATTTGATACTTATGTGCTTAAAATTGGTTTTAAAAAGAGTGAAT